GAACAGATAAATAGGAGAAAGAGAGTGGTGTATGTGTTTACAATTCATAGATACTGTTTCTCAGGGTCCAATCTGGCCTCATCTGGATTCAGAGAAATAATCACTGCACTTCAGAGTATTGTTACTATTGTTATTTGGTAATGTATGAAATAATATATAATCCTAGGAATACAAAATGAAAAAAATATACAAGGAAATTCTTTCCCCTCTAGCATGATAAATCTTGGTGGAAAAAATAATGAATTAGCTGGACCACTTGTAACAAAATGAAATTCAGCAGACAGAAAATTAAGGTTCTACTCTTTAGCAAGAAAAACCAAATATATAGGTGCAGATTGGATAAAATTTACCTCCATGCCAATAACTATGAGAGGGATCTTGGAGTCTTAGTGGACAATCATTTAAATATGAGCCTGCAATGTGTGGCAGTAGCTAATAAAGCCAATACAAGCCTAAACTGCATTAACAGAGGGATAGAATCAAAATCACATGAAGTGTTAGTGCCACTTTATAATGCCTGGGTTGTCAGGCCTGGAGGACTTTTTTTTTTTTTTTTTTGATTCTTCAGGGCTGCCACATTTACTGCTGTGGGAAACTCGGAGATGGGATTGTATGGAGTTACAGGGTTATATAGTCATAATAACATGCCTTTCTCAGAGAATCAAGGACATTCGGCCTGCACCTGGAGTGGCGTGACTTGGAGGCATCTCCAGTTGGGATGGTGCAGTGATTGGGCCATGTGATGGACATGTGGGTGCAAGGGGAGGGACTTGAACTTTCTTTTGGGTGGGGAAAACCTGGAAGCTTTCAGATTTGGGTTTTCCCAGATGTGCCAATATGACATCTCTAATAAAATGGAACTTTGAGGAACTACTGGCCTCAGAGTCTTCTTTCGTTTGGGATGTTACTTGGAACACTGACATTGGTAAGACCACAGTTGGAATACTGAATCCAGTTTTGGTTACCACATTGTAAAAAAAGATGATGAGAATTTGGAGAGAGTGCAGAAAAGAGCAACAAAAAGTATTAAGGGCCTGAAAGCTAAAACATATAGAAAATGTTTATAGCCACCCTGAGTCTTCGGAGAGGGACGGCATATAAATTGAATTAATTAAATTAATTAATTTAAATTAAATGGTGGCAGGAATTGGGTATATATATTCTAATGAAAAGAAGGACTAGGGGCAGAGGAGGGCTGCTGCCAGTTCAGACTGGTTCACCTGAATGGTTGTTTCAATTCTGCATGTTTCAGAGAACTGGCAAATCAGACCACTGCCTGGCCCCAGCCCTGCCCATCTTTCAGGCCATTTTTGAGCTGTTTTCAGGCTGTTTTTCTGCACAAAATCTGTCCAAAAAACGGCTTGAAAATGACCTAAAAACCAGCCTGAAAATGGCCCAAATACCCCAAAAACAGACTGTTTTTGGGCCATTTTCAGGCTGTTTTTCTGGCCAAAATCAGCCCGAAAATGGCTTCAAAATGCCCCATAAATGCCCCCAAACCAGGCCATTTCCAGGCCATTTTTGGGCCATTTTCAGGCTGTTTTGGCCCAAAAAATGGTCAGAAAATGGCCCCAAAACACTCAAAAACAGGCTATTTTCAGGCTGTTTTTCCAGCCAAAAGTGCCTCAAAAATGGTCTGAAAACAGCCCAAAATGCCCCCCCCCCAAAAAAACAGGCCATTTTCAGGCCATTTTTCAGGCTGTTTTCAGGCCATTTTCCCGGCCAAAATCAGCCTGAAAAGCAGTCCCAAAAACGGCCTGAAAATGGCCCAAAAAAGGCCCCCAAAAGCCCTAAAAATGCTGGCTGTGAGAGGAAGAGAAGCTGGGTGAGCCAGACCCAGACATGTCTGCTTCTGTTCTGTCCCATCACAGAAGCAGCAACCTCACACTCATCCCATCTCTACTAGCTCCCTTCTTTTCATGGGATCACTCCACCCAATGGAGACAGAGAGGGAGAAGATGTGCTCTCCTGTTTCTGTTTGGCACTCTCCCCTCAATGCTAGCAGCTACCACTGCCCCCTTCTCCCTATCTGTTTCTGCTGCTGGGCAATCCTGTGAGAAGAAGGGGACTAGCAGAGAGAGGAGAGTGCAAGTTTGCTGCTTCTGGGATGCAGGGACACGGGAAGCATCTGCGTCCAGGTTACCCAGCTTTTCTTCCTCTCAGCCAGCTTTCCCAGTCTAGCTTGAGCCTCTCTCTCTCTCTCTCTCTCTCTCTCTCTCTCTCTCTCACACACACACACACACACACACACACACACACACACACACAGAGAGAGAGAGAGAGAGAGAGAGAGAGGGAGGGAGGGAGGGAGGGAGGGAGGGAGGTTGGGTCTTTCTTTTCTCTCACCCCACCCCCTTTGTGAAGTCCTTTTAAAAATCATCATGATTCCCTGCATGGATCTAATAATGACAACTTTGGCTTCATCACAAGGCAACCCAGGCAACTCTGATCCACCTTATCGATGTGGTGAAGATGGATTAGTTTATCATGGATATCAGAGATTTGTAATTTTTCTTCATTTGGCTTTACTGCTACAGTTCCAGTTTACCATTGTTGTCAGTGTAATATTCTGGTCTCTTGGCGTCCAGGCCAGATTTCAGTTTAATTAATTCCTGATACTAGGGCAGCTGTGTTTGGAGTTCAAAAAGGATAGTACTTATGCCTTAGTGACAATGTAATAGGTCTGGAACCATCTTTCAGAATACTTTATTTTTATACTTTAAAAATATTTATTTTTATACTTTTTATAAATACTTTATAAATATATATATTTTTTTTTTGCAAATCAGTATATCATTAAATGTGTAAAGAATGGAAGATTCTACCTTTTCTTAAAATTTCCTAAAATTCTTTTATGCATTTTCTTTTTGGGTCTCAGTTTGTTTTCTCAGTTATGGGTCTAATCATTCTAAATTTCTCTCTCACTAAGCATATGTATCTACATCTACATCTATTTATCAGAGGTGGATTTCAGCAGGTTCTGACCAGTTCTGGAGAACCGGTAGCAGAAATTTTGAGTAGTTTTGAGAACTGGTAAATACCTCCATTTATTGGCCCTGCCTCCATCTATTCTCTGCCTCCCGAGTCCCAGCTGATCGGGGGGAAATGGGGATTTTGCAGTAACCTTCCCATGGAGTGTGGTGGTAATGGAGATTTAACAGTATCCTTGCCCTGTCATGCCCATCAAGCCATGCCCACCAAGCCATGCCACGCCCACCAAGCCACACCCACGGAACTGGTAGTAAAAAAAATTGAAACCCACCACTGATCTATCTATCTGTATCTATATCTATCTATATGTAGATATCATCTATATCTACAGTATCTGTATCTATACATAAGATCATTTCCAATTCAGCTTTGTTTTAGAGAGTTACATTGATTTATTATAGTAAAAACTTATGTCATGGGTTTCATGGGCCAAATCTATTTTGCGTCCTCGGCTATAAAACATCTGTTATTTTTTAAGATACCAGGAAACTCTTTGTGTTTTATACATATACTTGTTAACTTGCCACACATCATATGATTAATCCAGAAATTCCTTCTAAGACACTCTGCTTTTTAATAGATTAAAGAGCATATAACAGAATTGTCATGGGATTTTTTTATCATGCTATGTAGCATATAAATAACCATTTAATGGAGACATTCACATTATTGTAGAACTGTTCAGAAAGCAGTCAGGGAGAGAAAAGAAGAAAAAGAGAAATTATGATAAGCGTTGTGTCAGAACTCTTCGTGAATGTAATTTAGTGGGCATATTTTTTAGGATAGCTATAGAACATTAACAATTTTAAACAAGATGTACCAATCACAGATCTCCTTATGGAAATAGAGAACATAGACTTGTTATGAATTGAACCTTTACCACATCTTCAAATACTATTTCATCAATAAGGTAAATAAAACATTTTTAATCAAGTTTTTGAGGCTCTGCTGCAGGAAAATTATTTGCTTTAATGCACAGATAATTTCTTTAAGCATTTTTTTCTTACTTTCTCAAAAATACAGCAACAAAAATAATTACTGAATCAGACCAAAGGCCTACAGTATATAATCTATTTTCCATTTTTAGTAGCTGTTCCTGGGAAGTTTAGCAGAAGTTCCTTGAAGAAAATCCTCCCAGAAGAAAATCCTCCCAGATAAGAAACTAGTCAGAGACAGATGTAGGAGATGACCAGGCTGAGCCCGAGGGAGAAATCAAATACATCATCAGTCATGAGCCCCTTCTCATCCACAAGAGATCTAAATCCAGACCACTTTGAATTCCTTCTACTTTTATCTCCCACTAATTTTCCTTGGTCATTAGTAGTTCAGATTCTTGTAGAGAGTTTAAGCTTGCAATAAATCTTTAAACAGTAGAACCTCTGATCACATCCATAATTCGTTCCATAACTTTGGTCAGAAACCAATTTGTTTGTGACCTGAACCTAATTTTGGAAATTTGGCGCTTACAAAAAATATGGTGTAATTAAAATGTCGGGGACAAGTAGTAAATCAGAATAATATGAAGAGAAAGAAGGGGAAATTGTAAATAACAAAGAAGATCACTATGCAATAGCTGTAAAGAGAGCGTGTTTATAAATGTTGTATGTCTTGTATTGTTATATTGTGTTATAAAAATAATAAAAAAAAATTAAAAAGCAAAAAATATGGTATAGAAGTGGAAATCAGCTGCAAAGAAAAAAATTGTGAATTTTTTGGTCAGAACACTATTTGGTTGTGGTCAGAAGTATTTGTGACCAGAGGTTTTACTGTACCCATTTGAACAGTCTAGATCTACAAATTTTCCTGGTGATTGACAAAAGGCTTGCTTCTGAAAATGGATGTTCAGTTTAACTTTCATGGTTAGTAGCAATTGAATAAAAAGAATGACATCTTTTATATGATAATTTAGAAGCAACAGAGATTTCGACATTATAACCTTCCTAAAAAATGTTAAATATTTTGTATTAATTTTTCTTAAGATTCATCTAATGGGCAATAAAGAGAATCAGAATATGTCAAGTGTGACAGAGTTCATTCTCTTAGGATTTGGGGATCTCATTGAACTGGAATTTCTCCTTTTCCCAATGTTTCTAATAATATACTTGATAACCATGACTGGGAATCTTTTTATTGTCTTCTTAATTGTCATTGATGAACATCTTCACACACCCATGTATTTCTTCCTACTAAATTTATCTTTGCTGGAAACCTGCTATAGTTCTGTCATTCTGCCTAAAACATTATTGTGTCTCGTGACTGGGAAGAAAAATATATCCATAAATTCTTGCTTCATGCAATTTTATTTATTTGCTTGTCTGGGAGGGGCTGAATGTTATTTTCTATCTGCCATGTCTTATGATAGGTATTTAGCTGTGTGCAAACCACTGCACTATTCTATGCTCATGAACAATAGGTTGTGCCTGCAACTTGCAATTGTGTCCTGGGCAAGTGGAATATTAGTTAGCACAAGCACAACCTTCTCAATAGCTTCCTTAACCTTCTGTGGACCCAATATAATTGATCACTATCTCTGTGATTTATCCCCATTCATAAAAGAAATCTCTTGCACAGACACTTATACTGTAGAACTAACTGCATTTACATTTGCTTGTGTCTTTACCTTTCCTCCTTTACTTCTCACATGGATGTCCTACATTTTCATTATTTACACAATCATTAGAATTCCATCTACCACTGGGAAGCATAAAGCTTTCTCTACCTGTTCCTCTCATCTCACTGTGGTTGCCCTTTTTTACGGAGCCCTGATGCTTGTCTATATGCTTCCACGGTTTAGGAATCTCAAACATCTAAAGAAAATCTTCTCTCTCTTCTATACTGTACTGACTCCTCTGATCAACCCTCTTATTTATAGCTTCAGAAACAAGGACGTAAAGGCAGCCATTTGGAAAGGACTCAGGAAATTTATCATACATATGAGAAATTCCAGACCCAAGTTTTGTTCGCTATCAAAATGAAAGTGGTTGTAATTCATCTTTTTCAGATATAAATTATACATGTATGTATGTATGCATGCAGAGAGATAGATGACAGAAGATAGATAGATAAATAGACAGACAGACAGAGTGGTCTTTCATGTGAATGAAAGAAAGGAATTTTTTTCACACTGAATTTGGGAATCAGTTAATATATTTTCAGATGGGATATATTAAGTGGGAATAACTCTTTATTAATTGTGGTCACTATAGAACTCTCCCCAACCTCATTTTATGCATATGCATTTAATTTTGATTGCCTCTATTACTAGCTAATAGGTATTCATTTGTATAAACTGTTCTGACTGAAAAAATGATAATTTTCCCTCTCTTACAGAAGATATAAACATTATCTTTTACAATCCTTTCTGTCTATTTTCGGAGTATATGTGTGTGCATTGTGCATGTATATTCCTGTTTATCCAACTATCCATATTTGTAACCTATTTGTGTATTTTACAAATAAAGCATGGATATAAACAAATTCTATGTTTATGACAATTCTAATTTTTTCATCAGATATTGAAAAGCCAAAATAATTTGAAGCCATAGAGGATGTGCAACATTACTACAAATTCCAGGAGAATGTAAATTTGAATTAAATTAAGCTGAATTAAGAAAAAAAATATTCTATAAAATTTTATGAAATTTATAAAAAATGAAATATATATACTACTAACAGATTTAATATGCTTATGTGGTGAGAAACATAAACCCTGCTGTCTGAAAAGTTATTAAATTACTGTGATATTTGATTTCAGTGTTAGGAAACAGATTAAAATATCAGAACAATCTATAATGAAAGCTTAAGATGCCAAAGTTTGAAATGGGCATGTAGTTGGGGATAACGTACTACTGAATTTAATAAAACAAATAATTTAGATGTAATGTACAAAATATATCCTATAATGATATGATTTTATGTACTATTAGTTTACTTTATTGGTTAGCTCTTGGGCCATATCAAAATGCAGAGTTCCAGACACAAATTATTACTAAAATCTGATAAAAACAATTTAAAATGGAACTGGATAAAATACAATTTAAAATGAAATTGGAATAAAACATGATTTAAAATTAAATTGGAATAAAATAAAATAATTTAATATCTAAATAAATAAAATATGATAAAATTATATTTTAGTATCACACCTACAATCTACCCCAATCAGTTCCACATATGTCTATCCCAACCAAACCATTTTGCTTTAGTATTATGATATATTAAATGTTATTTTCAGATTCTGGCCACAAATAAAAGTAAATTGTTTTGATATATGGATCCCAATGGGTTATTTGATTAGTATATAGAGCAGGGTATCTATCTTTCCCCCTCTTATATAGGCAACAGTCAAATAGGATGTGAACCAGGTCTTCTACCTCTGTCGCTCTGCAAACGCAGAGACGTCCATTGTATGGTATAGAATGGAATCTCCCGTATCTTGACCATATCTGTCAAGCTGTTCAAATCTCACTCACATAAATATCTCCCTAAAATATTTTGGCACTTGTAACTTTAAACAGCTATCTATTTGAAAAGTATTTTTGTATTTGCTCAGTCATTTCAAGTTACCTACCTTACTAAGGATAGCTATATCATTTCTATATCCTTAATTCTTTGGGCAGCTCTTTTTAAAAATCATTCTCCTGTTACACAAGAAACAGGATGGCCACAGCTTCTTACAAAATTTGTCAGTTTGGTGATCCAGGAGATTTGTGGTTGTGATTTTATGTAGCAAAAATGAAATATATATACTACTAAAAGACTTAATATACTTATGTGGTGGAAAACATAAACCTTGCTGTCCTAAAAGTTATTAAATTACTGCTGTATTTGATTTCAGTGTTAGGAAACAGATTAAAATATCAAAACAATCTGATAATGAAATCTTAAGATGCCAAAATTTGAAATGGGCATGTAGTTGGGGATGACATACCACTGAATGTAATAAAATGAATAATTTAGATGTAATGTACAAAAGATCTCCTATAATGATATGATTTTATGTACTGGTGGAGAAAAGGATATATAGGACAGGAAAAAAACAACAACCCTGATTTTTAAAACTTAGGTTTTAAAAAAAATTCACCAGAGAGAAAATGTGCTTCTGAAGTCAAAACACTTTATCTTTACTTCGCTCCAATGGATTTCCATGGATTGGGACAGAGGAGGAAGAGAATGCTGTTTTCATGTGAATGACAGCAGCATTGTGACATGGCATTAGAAGATCAGCTCCTTTTTTTCATCTGTATGACAACAAATAATAGTACAAAAGAGACAAGTTTTGGGACAAATGCCAACTTCTCCCCAACATTGAATCCCTGAGAATATTCTGGAATATTTGCGCGCTCACATTTTCGGTGCTGGGCGAACCAATTAAATTAAGGGAAGCCTCTGATGTCACTCTTTTATTAAAAGATGTTTTCTTTCTATCCACTATCTCTCGCCCGCTTGGTGCTTTGAATCCTGTTCATTTTTATCTTACCTCCCATATTTCACTCTTTGCATCTATTTATATTAAGATACAATCATTCATTATTTCATTATTTAACATTTTAATACACAGTTCTAATACAATATTATTTAAACATACAAAATTGTTCTAATCACATTCTTTACAATCATCAAATCTATATTTCTGATAGTAATACACATGTTTATATTAAAGTATGTTCTTTCATTATTTAATTGCTCAATGTTTCAATATATTATTCCAATTGCCAATCACAATATTATTTAAATGTACTTAATAATACCATAATTCAATCTCTAGCGGGGAAAACAATTGTTTATACATATAAGTTACACTTCTTTTTCTTAATATATTAGTGACATTGACAAAATATTTTTCTTACATTTTTAGTGATTATGAATTTGGGAACCAGTTGGATATATGTTCTCTTTTTTGAAATCTATTAATAATTAATGGCAGCTCCATATATTGTGCAATTAATCAAATTATTTATCAAATTCTACTAATGACTTGTCTGCTTGTCCCTCTGTTACTCAAAGGAAAAAAAAAACTTCTGGTTGATATATAATTTCATTTTCCTTTCAGATTTGTAGTGGCAGACTTATTTTTCCCTTTAGTTCTTTGACCCAGTCTTGACTCCTATGACTTTCTGAAGTCCCTATAGTTTTCTTGGCAAGATTTTAACTGGTTCCCCATTGGCCATTTTAGTAACTCATATTTATCCTATTAGTTTCATGCCTACAGCAGAACTAAAATTCATGGCCTCCTGGTTTCTAGCCTCCTCCCTTAAGCAAACATCAAACTAGATGTAGTCTTTAATTATAATGGTATGGTATGGTATGGTATGGTATGGTATGGTATGGTATGGTATTATGGTATGCTATGCTATGCTATGCTAATGCTATGCTATGCTATGCTATGCTATGCTATGCTATGCTATGCTATAACAATAATTCATGGGTTGGGATAGTTCAGTCTTGATCTGTCCTTTGGTTGAGTGTCTTTATATTGTTGTTGTTGTTGTTGTTGTTGTTATTATTATTATTATTATTATATAAGTATATTATTAGCTTACATTAGATTACAGTATAATACTCTACTCTTCTGTTCTGTTTTGTTCTTTTCTGCTGTGCTGTGCTGTGCTATGCTATGTTATATTAATAGTATAATCATATCATATTTATATACATTAATATAATATATACTGTAATATTATTATATTATATTACATTACATTACATTGTTATATTATTAATATAATAGTATTAGATATTATAATAATAATGTAATATAACAATATAGTATGATATTATCAAGCCATAGTGGCACAGTGGTTAGAGTGCAGTACTGCAGGCTACTTCTGCTGATCAACGGCTGCCAGCAATTTGGCAGATCGAATTTCACCAGGCTCAAGGTTGACTCAGCCTTCCATCCTTCCGAAGTTAGTAAAATGAGGACTCAGATTGTTGAGGGCAATATGCTGACTCTGTAAACCGCTTAGAGAGGGCGGTAAAGCACTGTGAAGCATATATAAATCTAAGTGCTACTGCTATTATCACATTAATAATATAATATAATAATGTCATGTAATGTTATATAATATAATCATGTATGTGTAAAAAAAACATTAGACACAAAGACAGATCAACACTATGATGTAGTGGTGCTAAACTAAATAGTAATGTAATTATCACTATTTAGATAGGATTGTTGTATGTAAATAAATAAATATATATTTTAAAAATCTCCTTGAATTTAGTGCTTGGATATTCACCTTCAAATTAAATTAGTTCAGTCACTCTGATTTTACTGATCCAAATGAAGATGAATTTATTTGTAGCCTCTAAGAATGAACCTTGTTTCATCTAATGGTTAAAGCACCTAGCTAGAAATTGAGAAAACCTCAGTTCTAGTCCCACTTTAGGCATGAAATCTGACTGAGTAATTTTGGGCCATTCACACTCTTTCAGCTCATGTCATCTCACAGGGATGTCATTGTGGGAAAGAATATAGGTTTGATCTCCATCTTGAATTAAGAATAAAAATAATAAAGGCAGGCTAAAAATAAACAAATTAAAGTATGATTAATGGAGTAATGATGTTTTACTGGCATAACTATTATTCGTGAACTTTTTTCTCATCTTCCATTCTTTTCCACAGAAAATCAAAGATATTTTTCAATTTTTTAATGGGTTTCCTTCTTTCTGCAATATTGGGAATAATTATCTCTGAAAGCTCAGAAAAATTCACTTCTTGCATTGTCATTTGTAAATATCCTCTTTATTTTATTAAACTTCTGAGGGCTTCTTTCACTTTTTTGTTTCTCAGTGTGTAAATGAAAGGATTGAGCGTTGGAGTTATTACTGCTGTTAAGATGCTCACAACTTTCTTGAGATCTAGGGATGGTGAATTTGATGGCTTCAGATACATAAATATGGCACTGCCATAATATATAGAAGCTGCAATGATGTGGGCACTACAGGTAGAGAAAGCCTTCTGTCTTCCACTGATGGATGGGATCCTTAGCACTGTAGTGATGATATAAATATAGGATACAGTTGCTATTGTCAGTGATCCCAAAAGTACAATAATAGCTATTGAAAAATCCAAAAGCTCAATGTGGTATGTATTGGAACAAGCAAGAGCAAGAAGAGGTTTAATATCACAAAAAAAGTGATCAATGATATTAGATCTACAAAAGGGCAGATTGGCTAAAGCAGCCACAGGCCAGATCATAAAAAAATATCCTGTAAACCAGCAAGAAAGGACAAGGTAGATACAGACTTTAACACTTATAATAGAGTGATAGTGCAGAGGATTACATATTGCTACATAGCGGTCAAAAGACATAACAGCCAAGAGTAGAAACTCTGCCACTCCAAGAAAGAAATAGAAGTAGCACTGAATTAGGCAGCCATAAAATGAAATTGTTTTCGTACTGGATAAGAGATTATACAGTATGGCTGGAATGATTGAGAATGTGAATCCAATCTCTAGGATAGACAAATTAAAGAGGAAAAAATACATAGGGCTATGAAGGCAATAACTGAACAGAACCACAATCACAATAGAAAGATTACCAAGCAGTGATAAAGCAAAGATAAATAAGAGCAGAGAGAAAAAAAGGATTACAAGATGATCCAGAACTGGGATGCCCCGTAAAACAAATTCCTTCAAAGTGCTATAGTTTCCTGGATGCATTTATAGTAGAAGAAAGACAAGAAGGGTAAAAGAGAGTCTTAAATTACTTCAGGAAGAAAAATATTTTATTCGAGCCTGTGTAAAAAAGAAAGAATAAAAATGAATAAATTTCCTCCCAAATAAGTATCTACTTTATATCTATCTACTTAATCTACATCTACATATCTCTATACTTATATCTATATCTACACCTACATCTATATACACAGAAAGAGAGAGAGAGAGTATATCTAGTATATACAAGTATATATGTACAGTATATACGGGTAGGGTGCACGTACGCATGCACATGCGCGCACACACATAAACACCCATTTCAAGGGTTTTTTTTTTTTCATTTTTCAAGAAAATAACCATGAAAGTCCAGTTGACTTTTGGAAAAAGCACCTTTGAGACAACCAGGACCTGGATAATTGAGAATCTCCATAAAAAGTCTTGTATAATATTCCTTTAATTAGCACAGTACTTTTAGCTCAGTACTTTTATAATAAATTTAGATATTTCAATAATCAAACTGAAGGAATGTCTAAAGACATACCAATTAATTTTAAAAAGCTGAGTAATTAAGAGTAATGATTGCTGCAGATTTTTCTGAGACTTTAGTCTAACCCAAAAGTTAGGTCAGATATACTTGGGACTATAAACAATCAACATTCAACTTGATCACATTTTCCTTCTAGATGTCTTGCTAAATTATCATCGTCTAGGTTTTATTGCCTTTTCAAGAAGGGGAGAGAAAAGGAAGGGCGAAACATAAACAGAACACAGATATTGAACTGATATAATATCGTTATTATATTAGCTTCCTGGAAGAATGTCAGTTTATACCATTAGAACAAGATATTTAAAAAAATCCCTCTAAAAAAAAGTTCTTTCATTTTTGCTTTTTCCTGTAGATTCATCTTGGCTAGAGTTTATCGGAGTTATCTACAGTCACAGCATTTGAAGTATTAAAGATTATCTTCTGTGTTGAAATAGATATTTTATAATGTCACTGCAAAAAAATAATTGATCTGCAGTGAAATTAAGAGCTTTGAAATTGGAGGTTTTCTCTCATTTGTATCAAATTTAAGAATTCCGGGATTTCTTTGTTTCTTCGTTTTTTAAAAATACCAATCTTAACATACCAACGTAAGGAGGGTGAAAATTTTGTTGGAATATTACCTTTTTAAAGATCAAATGACTTCATGTTTCTTCACTTGCTGAGCCACAGACATCTTTTTTAGATAACAGTGAACAACTAAGTGTAACAATTTTGTCTTTTTTTATAATTTAAACTCAATAGTCTCGGCTCCTGGGTTATTGTAACTATTGTAGTTTATTGTAAACTATTGTAATCCAGGATCCAAAAGTTTTGTCTGTCATAAAGGCTTATCCTTTCCTTCTTATCCTTCCTCAATTTTTTATATTGATGTGACTTAATGCTATCATTTATTGTGAATTGTACAGCGCTTCTTAAAGATTATTAAGCATTATTGAAGCTGCTAAAACTAGTTGTGTACTTATTAGACAATCACTTTTTCTTACAATTTAGGAATAAATGCAACACTCTTACGATGTTCACTTGTAAATTTTATTCTCTACCATTATTGTACTTTTTTAATCAGTAAAATTACTCAATGACATAAAAACAAAATTGAAATCTTATATTATCAATGGACAGCTTACATCTTCTCATTTCTCAGCCCATTATGCAATATGTAAGTGAATAAAATTAGACTAAAAAATGCTTTTCTAGCAATGGAACAGAAGGAATGGAAAATATAATATTATCATTCTTACTTTATTCTGACTTTTTGAGAAGACCAAATAGGAAGATTATACTACTGTTTCTGTAGGTTCTTTAGGAAAGTGAAATTCTCTTTCTGCTTTAGTGTAAATCAGTAACTAATGTTTAAATAATTTATGATGGAAATGTTTGAAAATATCCAAATTATAGCAACTTTATTTTTCTTCTTTCAGATATTGAAGAATTGAGAATTTCAGTGGAAAAATTCTACTTGAATAACATAATTTATTCTGCAAGATTTTTCTAATCAACAGGAGTTTCAAATTCTGTTGTTTGGTGCAATATTAACTATAGCAGGTATAATGAGAAATGTTTACGTAGGAACAATTTTGCATACTCCTAAGTTTTTCTTCCTCAAAAAATTGTTTTTGAGGTTTGCTTAGACAGTGTCTAAGACAGCACTAACTTTATCCACTCTAGATGCCTTATTCAGATGTACCTGAATGCAGATGCAGTCTGTTGAGCGAAAGTACAAAACTTTTCTGTTTTCACATCCCATCTTCCAGTAGTCTTTTTATTCTAAGGAACAAACAATGCAATATATTTAGGAATACATCAACTACAGAAAAGAAAGATGGGAACAACAGATTTCTCTCCCTTCTCTATGTTGTGGTGATTCCTATGTTAAATCCTCCTATTTACAGCCTAAGAATCAAGGAAGTAAAAGAACCTTTAAAATGATAATTGATAGAATGATACTTTTTCCCCACTTGGAACTTGTACACTCACTATGTCATTTGTCAGTGTGGAATTTGGGATATAGAGACCATGTATAACACAAACATTAGTACTGCTGTTATTACTCCATAGATGAAAACTCCATATCTTTTTTAAAAAAATTGGGCACAAGTATTTATAATGGTATGTGGGCTAACAGACTCAATAACAGGAAAGGAACAATAATAATGAAGTAAATGAATGAAGTAAAATACAGATATTATTGAGAAAAGATCTTGAGAAAAGGACAATCAAGCTAGCAATAGAAAAAATAACGAGGATAAAAATTCCCATCACAGTGCACTCATGTCAGAAGCACTGAGGGACTTCTGGGTTGAAAGGATTAGCCAGTGACATCACTGTTGCCAAGGAGAACTCCAAGTTGGGGGCTTAATTCATGTCCAAGGCAGGAACTAGAGCAAAGGATGAGAGCTCATCCCACCCTACAGCAGCATTCATTGGCTGCCAGCAGAGCTAGCAGCAGAGTCAGATGAGGAGGAGGTTGAGGGAAAGCTTGGGTGGCTTCTGAGTCTTTGGAAGGCTCTGATAAGGAAGCAGGATAACAGACAGATGCAGAGCCAGGGGCCTTCCATCCTTCCCTGGGTGGAGGGTCAACTGTCTTCAGGGCCTGAACTGAGTGAGAAGGAGGAACAGATGGGACCCATCCTAGATGTGGTATGCATAAGGAGGAAAGGAAAGGAGAGCAATGGAAAGCAATAAGCTGGCTCTCAGGAAAAAGAAGTCACAGATGCTAGCCAGTCCCTCTCTAGTTGGGAAATAAATAGTAGGGGTTTGGGAGTGGCCGGTTGTTACATACAACCATTTGTTTTCCAGTGTACATCAATCACATCAGATTCCTTTGCCAGAACCAGGTTTGTCAGGACTAATTGCTCTATATTTGAGGTGCCAATGGAATCTTCATGCTGAGAAATAATAGGGAATGAATTTGCCTCAGCTGATGTGAATAGAGGCTGTTCTTGCCCTGTTTTTAGAAGAGGAAAAGACATTCATTTGTGACTCATTACTTTTGGTTTTGTTTATCCAATGTGAACAAAGGCTGTTCCTGCCCTCATTTAAATAAAAAAGAGTTTTGTTACTCATGAGTAAGCAGTTTCTCATTACCTGTGAAGGCTGGATCAGAAAACTCAGGTATTGAATGCAGGCTCGCTAATTTCCAAAATTCCTGTTAACTTTGGCAAGTCTTTAGTGACCAAAATTTAGCTGTGTTCTAGTGGATCTCCCATTACCAACTTAGTGTATCATGGTACCCCATCAATATTGTATGGAACTTTAGAGATGCACAGAACACAGTTTTAAAAAGCTGCCTTAATCAGGCATAAGATTAAGCAAACAAATTAGTTAATATCTATAATATCCCCCCCCCCACTTTAAATGTCTGTAAGATCTCATGGGAAAGCAGCATTACATCTCTCTCACTAAGGATGCTGCTGGAATTGCCATGTCAACCACTGAGGATTATTTCCTGACATGAAACATTTCCTTTGTTATTACCAAATTTAATACCATTACTATTACTACTACTACTACTACTACTACTACTACTACTACTATTTAATTTTCCTATCAATAATAAATTACAATAATATAGTGTGCACCAGCAGTTTCCTTTTGCTTGAGTTCTTTTTTATCACATGCCAAGCCCAATAGCTTCCAGAATACAAGGTTTAAGCCTACCACTAGCTTGATCCAGGGCAGGAAATTTAACAGGATGTTATCAATATATGGATGATTTCTTTCAGAAATTTCATGTAATGATAAAAAAAACATTGAGTTTTGTGGCTCTCTATAAATAAATAAGTAAGTAAATATGGGGCTTACCTCTTTTCATTGGAATTGCCAACTAAGAAATGAAACAATTGCAGTGGTTCCCAAAAGATACCATTATTGTTAACATTGTAGGACTAGGACTGGTATATTACTGTCCCCACAAATGTCATCCACTAATGTAGTCAAGGTCATTGTCATCTCTTGTACAGTCCTCATCCAAACTGAAAATAATATACTTTGTAAAAAAGTTTTATTGGAATTTTATTTTTAAATATACATCAATATCAATATATGAACAGTGTGACCTCTGGGAATAGTTCATTTTGATACAAACAGCCATAATAATAATTATAATAGTTGTCACATTAGTCAAACTTATATAATCCTAATATTCATGATTGTTTTGAAGTAGTTATTCAATATTTTAATGTTCCATTTTAATGCCAATGATATTATTAAGCATTAAATAATACCATCTTTCAGCCTCTAATCTTTCCATCTAAATATTACTTATATTCTATTATATGAAAATTGTATCTATTATTTCTACCTCTATTCTAGCTTCCACCATTACTAATCCTGATGTTAATATACTTGTTTATATTAAGACATAGTCCTTCATTATTTGGTTGTTCAAAGTCACAATATGCCATTCAAGCAGGGGTGAAATGCTCCCAGTTCAGACCGGATCGCCCGATCCAGTGGC